CTGGTAAAGACCCCCTATAATTAAGGGGTCTCCGCTTCTGGTAAGCCTCCATTTATTCACATGGTGGTGGTGCACATATTGGTGAACAATTGGATGGAATATTATTCACAGCATTAATATCACATTCACAGAACTGGAGAAAGGCTTCACTATTGATTGTGGAGAATTGTATTTACACGGGCGTTATTGTTTTTTGCATGGACTATATGTCAATATTTATTTGTTTTTTTTTCACTGATTTGATTGCTTTACATAGACATGAGTGATTTCACAATGAATATATGTGATAAGTTTAGTTTGTAAAATTGTTACACAGAGCGCAAGATTTTATTTATTAATATTCTGCATACTTTGTATTCACTTTGAAAAAAATCATTTGTGCTAAGAGAGTTGTAGGTATTTAAATGCTAAATGTTTGTTGCACTGTTTTATTGATATATCTGGAAAAACTGAAATGTCAAGAAGAATCCTATATCTTCAGAGGTAGAGTTAAGAGGAAAGTATTGACTGTTCATTAGATAGTCAGCCAATGGGCAAAGAGTTCAAACGTCAGAAAAAAAGAATACATGTTCAACCAGAAATACAATAAACAACATTTAGACTAGCATTAACAAGATACATTAATCCTGCCCACATCTGTTCTGTTGCCATAACTTAATAAAACCAGTGGTGTTGAAGCACATTGTATACCTATAACATCAAAAAAACTGCTGCGAAATTTTTACTTGGTGCCATGTCTACTAAACTGGTCAAAGTGTTTTAGCCATTTCTGTTGGTTCTGTGTAACTCAACCTAACTCGGCCGGAAATGAGCAGGGAATTGGTTGGCCCAGGTGTGTCCTCAGAATGCCATGCATTCATTACTCTTGGGGACATTAGGTATGTGGCACATTCTTGATTGGCTGTAGTCAAGGACACAAGATATTGCTAATAAGATAATGCTCAACATTATGGTAACTGTGATCAGGCTATGGACATTCAGGTTTATGAATATTCAGAATAAATGTAGCGCTACCCTTGCAGGAGCTGCTGAATAGAATGTGTCCTTTGTTCTCAGCCTCAACCTCCTTAATGACTTAAGCCCCTCTGACACTCTAGCTTAGTGTACAAAGCCTGCAATCTCACAGAAATTACTAAAGGCAACACCAAATATACTATAATGATGCTGAATCCGAAAGCAAACACCAACCAGAGAAGGGAAGACAGATCTTAATATATTGGCACACAGTAGGATAAGTAATGATACAAGTATGAAAATGATTTGGCAATAGTAGAAATGCAACTCAACATATGGTAAGACCAGTAGTTAACAGTGTGTATAGAAAATGCAGGAGTCCACCAGGATCAGCATAAACCGTAGGAAGGGGAGTGCAGTAATGGACAGTGATGTGATTATGTTTACTAGTTTCAGGAGATTACACTGCCAAATAAATTCAGGGCAATTATGCTAGGCCTAGGCTAACTAGATGGAGGTATCCTTTATGGAAGTAGTAGGATAAAGGGGTGATGCTTGAATAATGGTGTTAAATGGGGTAGTCCATTATTGTATTCTTCTGCTGGCTATAGCTGGGGTCCTTTAAAACGTTAGTGCACTCAAAGTCTTGATAAACCAGCCTGCAGTATAGGTGCAGTATTGGTGCAGAATATGTGCTATATACTTAGTGTCCTGTTTCCAGTAATTAAGTCTCTGCTATCAGTAGGAAAATGATGGGCAGTGAGAACTCTCTCCTTTCACTGTAGTGCTGCTGCAGAATCCTACTGTAGATGACTCTGGTGATCAGCAGTGGAAGAGAGGAGGTTGAGAGGACCCTCTGGTTACCCTGCAGTAACAGCGGTATCGATGAGGTTGCCACAGTCCGTGCAGCCCTGCCCCTGGTCTCAGGACCCTCCAACCCTAGGCTCTGGTTCCCACTTTTCTGGTTTCCTGCACATATGTGGGCACCCAGGCAAATGTGCTCACATGGACTACCACAACACTAAGTGGATGCAGTCTCTTGTACAGTCTGGTTAAAAGCTATTTTTCCAATCCCCCTCTTCCTCAGTGTCTGGAACCTGTAGTGTATAGGATCCATTGGTCCCATTCTGTGGTTGCTGTCCTGTACTTCAATTCCCATGATCTTCCCATTCTGCATAGATGTCTTTAGGCTTTCCTAGCTATAGTTGTCCCCATGCTAACTGAAGGGGAGAGTGCAGAACAACATCCAGCAAATCAGTAACACGTAAAAGCAAACTGATTGCAAAGAGTGCAATATCTTCTTCTGCATGTTTCTGTAGTCCAGGGTCTGGCTACATATGCAGTATAACAGCTTCAAACAATCTCTCACTTATCTCAGTAGCTGCAGGTACTATGGAGTGATTAATCCTCAGAAGTCCCAGTAAAAACACTTAAAGGAGAGCCATGGTCACAGCATACACCTTTGCTTTATAACATCTGCATTGTAATAACAATACAAGCAATACAAACAATAGTTATATTTGACAATCCAATATAAGCTGACTTGACAAATCACCTTTCATGGTTTATGTTCTGCCTCTCTGCTGGACATCTCTTCCAGGATTTCCTGCTTGCTTTGCAGCTTCTCCTCTGCTGTTTACTTTCAATTTCTAAGCACTTCATATCCCATGGTACCTTGCTACCTGCAAGCAGAGATTTTTGTACTAACTCCTGAAACTCCTCTTCTCAGAACCTCGGTAGTTCAGTGGGTAGGTTCTGTGAAATGTGTGACACAGCAGTGCCTACTGACAGGGCATAGTAATTATGTGTCACAGAAGGAAGTAAATGTGTGGGGATCTTCACAAAGTAAGTTTACAAACCAAGATTGTTCAGATTAGGTAGGATAGAAATAATTGAAATACAATTTGAAAATTAATATATGCTTTAACATTTTGTCCATGGATACACTTCAAGCCATTTAAATTGTTCAGCAGCTCAGCTCCCCCTTCCCAGAGCACCTGCTGTGTGTTTACATTGTTGATTAGGAGGCTGCTGTGTTACTGCTTGTAGAGGAAAATCAGGGTAAACTCAGCTTGTTTGGATAAGGCCTCTTTAAAGTGGAGTGCCACCCAAAAGGGGAAGTTCCACTCTAAAGATTGGTCCCCTGCTTCCCATTAAGGATTGGCACCTTTGGGGAGCGGGTACCCGAAATTGACAGGTACCCGCTCCCACTTCCACTGCAACCGCCTGGGTGATCGGAAGTGGAAGTTGTCCTCCTACTCTCCCTTCCCATAGTCTTGTGGGACACGTGACAGGTCCCAGAAGACTACGGGGCCATTCAGGAAGTGCAGCGCTATTCGTGCATGCGCAGTGGGCACCCGGCTGTGAAGCCGGAAGCTGTCACAGCCAGGTGCCCACACTGAAGATGCCGATGCCGGGAATACAGGATGGCCGGTAAAACAGGCTGTGGCTGGGGCACCATGGGATCGTGGGGCAGATGAGTGGCTGTTTTTTAAAGATCAGCAGCTACAGTTTTTGTAGCTGCTGACTTTTATTTTGTTACAGTGTGAGTGGAACCCCACTTTAAACTAACAGCAGGCTGAGAGCAGCCGCTGCTGATCGCATACCTGTACCCATACACAGAGTGATTAGCTGCAATTTTGGGCAGATGCCCGAGCCCGGACACAACAGCTGTTACTAAAGGCGAACTTTTAGCATTTAAAAGCTAAAAAACCTTCAGTGTGCAGCTCCATCCTCAGCTACACTAATTCTTACCTGAGCCCAATCTCGATCCAGTGCTGTGCACAAGAGCAGCAGCTCTCTTGGGTCTCTCCCTCCTCATAAAAAAAATAAATGCACATATTTTTGTAGTTAACAAAAAAAAATGCATTTATTTATTTAATGGAGCCTGCAGAGCATTGAACCCTCGATCAGCAGATCATAAGTGCAATGTCACATTCCTGCACAGTGTTCTTATAGCTTTGAGCCCATATCCCTATAGGGCTTTCAGTTACAAAGCTAGAGGAAGACCGAATGAACTAAGAGTACAAGTATGTCTGTTTTTGTAGCTGACGGTACTTGTAGTTTTTTCATTCACAGGAATCTGTGTAAAAAAGCCACGCTGTTCTCAAAAAGTGACAGTGGGAGTGGGGAGAGGAGCATGTTACAATCTAAATATGGGTGTAACATATTACATACATAGTTTCATACACACATAGTTAATCTGGTTGAAAAAAGAAAGAAGTCCATCCAGTACAACAAACAGAAAAAGACAAAACACACACAAATAGAAAACCTCCATATACACTACCCTATACCCCCAGTTGTAACAAAAATAGAATGTGACCTTATGCACCAAGTGATGTGCCTCCATCCCTTAACCCCTTAATGCCGATCGCATGCAAATATGCGGCCTCTCGGCGTCTGGGCCTTGATGCCGAGCGGCCGCATATTTACTTGCAATTAGAAAATACATATGTGCTGAGAGCACGCGCCCCACGTGCTCCCAGCACATTTGTCTGCTACTCCCGGAAAGTTCCTGATCTCCACTTTCGATCGGGACCTTTTCCGAATTGTGACAGCGGTCACATAACCCTAAAACCCCACCCTGCCTCCCGGCTTCTGAAACTCTTAAAGGCCCGGGAGGTGCCAGCACCAAGAGGTTAATATAGCCATACAAGCAATTTATTTGCCCCGGGACTTTAAATGAGGCACAACACACGACCAACTAATAACTCGTTTCCCATATTAATTTTTAATAAATGAATAAACTTTTCATTGCTTACAAAAAGAGGATAAAATAGTAACAAGCTGATTTGTAATAAATGCATATTAATGCATTTCATACATATTTGGATATACAATTGACCATATACAATCCAGATGTTGATACATAATAACATTAAAATTGCATCCAAAAACTCAACACGTTTCATGACTCTTAATTCACTTATTTAGGAGTAGATACACATATAATATCTGCAAGATAAAAGTTATACAGGGCACAGCATACAGCAGGGACCTGAGTGTAATCTGAGACCTGAGTGGAGAGAAAGGACACACACCCTCTACACCAGGGGTGTCAAACTGGTGGCCCTCCAGCTGCTGCGAAACTACAAGTCCCATCATGCCTCTGCCTTTGGGAGTCATGCGTTTAACTGTCAATCGTGCAATGCCTCATGGGACTTGTAGTTTGGCAACAGCTGGAGGGCCGCCAGTTTGACACTCGTGTTCTACACCATGGGTGTCCAACCTGCAGCCCATGACGACTATGAATGTGGCCCAACACAAAATTATAAACTTACTTAAAAATGTTGATTTTTTTTGTTGAATTTTTCGTAAAAAATGTACTTACACTTTGCGAACACATGCGGACGAAGAAAAATTTGACAGTATCTCTGTACTGGAATTTTTATATTCCTAGAGAAAAATATCCCACTCTTTATATCATGCCTTAATCATGTCATCCGTTCTTGACAGCATCTATATTTGTGAGCAATTAGAACCAAAATATCTGATGAGCGCCTTGAGAATTCATTGAGAATTGCTACTACTGTACATCCATCCAACCAGATTGTTGTGTGTTCGCTTATCAAAAACAGTGTCAAATATCACACTAGGTTTATGTTCCTCTTTTAATTTTATAAAAAAATATATTTTAAAAAAATTAAATTCTGTTACTCAGATAGGTACATTATCTATATATCATCTTTAAATACTGTATATATATATATATATATATATATATATATATATAAAATATATATGTGTGTGTATATGTATATATATATATGTCTTGTGATCTGCCTGACTTTTTCTGTTCATCAGCTATCCTTATTGTTCGTGTATTTTACGTGTGGCCCAAGACTATTCCTCTTTTTCCTATGTGGCTCAGGAAAATCAAAAGGTTGGGCACTCCTGCTCTACAGAGTCTCATAAGGAACCATGCACAGCTGAAGCTGTCAATCACCCTCTGTGTGCTGGAGGGGGGGGGGGGTATCTCCCAAGCTTCTGTAGTGCCAGGATAACCTGTCAGAAGTGACGCATGCAGATAGCAGTGGAAGGAGAAAGAAAACAGAAATGACACGCTTTGGACTGAAGTAAGTACACACAATAGAAGGATATGCTAAGCTCATTTTTCACTTCAGAGGTTTACAACAAAATGTAAGTTTCAACACTGCAGTTCTATCTGCATTGTAGTCTTCCCCCCTTAGATCTTCCTTGGTTCTACTGTGCAATGTCACATGACACTGCAGAGTGCTTCCCATCACTGTACCCTGTCGCTGTATCTGAGGTCTAGCAAGTGGACCTCGAGAAGGGGGGAAGGGGGGGCTGTGATCTCTACTGGGGGAGTCTGTGATTTGTACTGTGGGAGGTTTGTTTTGGGGGGGGGGTTCTGAGATCTGTACTGAAGGGGGAAGAGCAGTTAGTACTGGGAGTGATCGGTACTGGAGAGAGTACTCTGTATTGAGGTTCTCCCCCCCCCATCGGAGATGCTCGGCAATCACTCAATCGCCAGCGAGTAAACACCAGCCGGGACCCAGTGATTGACAGCCATGGCTGCGTATGGTGTATATATATATATGTGATTTTGCGAACTCGTGCCGCCCTGTCGCAGTACTTCTGCTATAGGGCGGACGGGAAGCAGTTAAAATGAAGCCCTCCAGCGGCGCACTGTCACCGCTGACAGGGCTTCCGTCTTCACCCGGTCCTTCTCTGGAGGCTTGAATGGCCGAGCCGCTATGACGTTACTCCCACGCACGTCACTTTTACAGCACACAGCTCTGACGGAAGGGCACGGGTATGCCGTTCCTTTAGAGTGCATGTGTGGGTGCTGCTACAGAAGTAAATATCTCCAAAACGGTGCACGTTTAGGAGATATCTACAGTACCTACAGATAAGTCTTATTATAGGCTTACCTGTAGGTACAAGTAAACCAGGGATGTCAAACTGGCGGCTTTACACCTGTTGCGAAACTACAAGTCCCATCATGCCTCTGCCTTTGGGAGCCATGCTTGTAACTGTAAATCTTGCAATGCCTCATGGGACTTGTAGTTTGGCAACAGCTGGAGGGCCGCCAGTTTGACACTCGTGTTCTACACCATGAAGTAAACAAACAGATTTTACTACCACTTAAAGAGACCAAAAGGGAGCAAATAAGGGAAGATCATTGCTCGGGTATACACGCCCTTTAAAGTTAATGCCATATGTACTGTACTAGAAATGTGTGTTTTTTGTGTTTGTACTAAAAAATATTTTTTTCATGGTAGTGAATCTGTGAGCAGATTCAACAAAAACTGAGTGGATTTGAAATCCAGGATAATATTATTAGGTTATGCAAGATCATTGTTGAAGCAGATATTTAAAGCTTCATTCACCCCTAATAATATATAATTAAAGTTCCCTTTGCTTGCAGCAGAGATTGAGTATATGTCAGATTTAAACCATTTATATGCCCTCTATAGGAAGTCGGCAAGATCCCATACAACTGCACAGTTTGCCCATTCTACATGCTGGCTGTCAAAATTCACTGGACTAGCAACAATTGTGTTTGCTCTATTATGCTTTGGATCAACTAGGATTTTTTTCTGTTAGTGCATTGATTTTTCATGCGTCTGTAAATATTGTATTTTTAGAATCATTCTTGGTCACACCAACTGAACCTGTCTATGGCTCTTTGTAAAAGCAGCTCTGAAACAGCATGGCTTTTTATGGTGTTGATCTTGTACAAAACAAAGAATTAGCAGGAAATAAAAAATAACCAATTAGATATGACTTTACACTTTGATACTGCCTGTTTTTGTTAGCACAAAAATATTTTTATATTAAGTCAGGAGAAATTATGCCAAAAAGTTCAGATTTGGACTGGCTGATATGTTTTTCATTTATTGTGTTTGTTTTTTTAAGAGTTTTTTTTTTATGTAGTGGAAGCAATCTAAACTGGCATCACAATTAGAAACCCAATATCCTACTGAAATTAGGTTTTAAATGTATGTTTTTAATTTGGAAAAACTCTGGCTCTGTTTTTTTATTCATATTTGTGACCCTAGTGGGAAGATTCCTCATCCCTTCCTGTCCCTGTGATGCCCATAGAAGAAATTAGAGAAGCAAAAGGCACCAAAACAAGAAGGCACAGAGAACAATGAAAAGGAAAATTGTAGACAATGTGTTAGCCTAGTGGGAAGATTCCTGATCACTTCCTGTCCCTGTGATGCCCATAGAAGAAATTAGAGAAGCAAAAGTCACCAAAACAAGAAGGCACAGAGAACAATGAAAAGGAAAATTGTAGACAAATACATACCATAAATTTCCTTTGCTGACTTATCTCATTGGCAGGATACACATTGGTTTGGTACCTTCCCTTGAGCTCCCATAGGGCCCCACACCTATAAACTGAAGCCCACCACTGATTGTTGAATACTGTTCCTTAACTAGTCCATTAAAATATTCCCATTGCACACATTCCGGGAAATGGCTATATGGTAAGTGGGTGCAGCAGTGATTGCCATCTGGGGAACCAGTGTCGACACAAGGTTAATGGAATATATTTCCAGCACACCAAGGATCTTTGAAATAGTGTCCAGAAGTTTACAGGTCACCGACAGCTCTATGTATTCGAGATTCTCTGCACAGCTAGCAGTGATCTGCAGTGATCTCTACTGGAAGCAGACAAAGTGAATCTGGCAGTGATCACCGCAGGTAATCTCTGGCTGTGTAGAAAACCTCGAGTAGGTGTGGCTGCCGGCAAACCATCATTATAGTGTACAGGGATGGCAGCTGCACCTACCCACTGAGAACCGCAAGAGTACCTACAGCTACAATTCGCACTGACCCTAATCAGCTGTGTGTAGCCTATGTATGTGCTGTGTAGGGAGGAGGGTGTGGGGCAACTAAAATTTAGGGGGGCACAGCCCACCCCAATACCACCCTAGATCCGGTCTTGTAGCATTTACTTACCTGGTGCACCTGCATTCCCTGCTGATGGTGCTATTGCAACTATGGCAGCCCTGACATTGCTCCAGACATACATATGCCCGGCTTGTCAATGTAGGCTACCGCGACTGCTATGTTTGTGCGGTATCCCCGACTTCCCTTCAGACATACATAGGCCAAGCTTCTCTCTGTCGGCCACCATGGCTGCTGTTCTGAACGTCCCTTCAGACTGGCCTCGGACTGTATGCTAAACTCTCTGGGGCCGTGGGTTGGACACCCCTGGTATAGTGGAATGACAATCATGTCATTGTGAACTTGTTACAGATCTATGAAGGGAAAATCTTAAATGAAACAACCTCCCTGGTAACAATGCATTTTCCCCGGCAAACCAACCTTTTCCTTGATAACATGACAGTTTAATGCTCAAAGCACACTGTAAAGTATTATGTAGCTCTTATTGCACTCTCTCAAGAAGTGGCTTGTCCTCATAGCTCTCTCTTGGGCTATGTGCGACTCTTATAGAACTCTCTTTGGTAATGTGCGGCTCTTATAACACTCACCTGAGTAATGTGTACCTCTTATAGTATTCTCTAGGGTAAATTGCAACTTTCATGATAACATCGAGTTTTCAGACTCCCTTTGCTCTGGTGATATGCACAGTCTCTCATTAATCATATGGCACACAGGGTGCAAACAACCTAACCTCACATCATATAACCGTTTCGGTCAGGGCTTAAATTTTAAAATAAATGTTTCAATATTCTACTCAACAACAGCAGGGAACAAGTCTTTATACCAGGGCATTAATTCTATTATCTTGCAGACTAAATGTGTGCATTATGCTAACACCTTTATTTGTACAAAAGATGACTAGGAAAAGTCTTGTCCATATAATATATATATATATATATATATATGTATATATAAAATAAAAATGTAACACTAAAAAATATGCAATAGAAAGAGCAAACAGCTAGTGCTATAAAATCTACATGCCAGTATTTACTAATTTGTTGAAAATAATAACAGGACTTCATTAAAATTTTGATGGTTGTCCAAATGTATTTTTCCTGTTCATCTGCTGATATTGAATAAAGATTACTCCTACATATTACTATATACAAGCCATCTCCATGGTGCTGTCTACTCTAGGCTTGTTGCTGAATGCTTGGGCATTATCCATGTACTCCTCCCCAGTCATGTACTAATACTAAAAGAAATTTGCATGGAATAATTATAACCTTATAACGATTTCGGTTTCAGTCACAATTCATTTTCAATAGTCAACAGTTAATTTTTTGGGGTAACAAAACTTATACCCTAAGGAGTCAGTATATTACATGTATCTCTAGATTATTTCCCTGGATTTCAGGGTCAAATACCTGGTGCCCCATTTTTCATGGATTTTCTGCTGATTTTATAAAGGTGTGTTTATTTTACATAATGTGTTTGCTAAAATTTTCAGTTTACTCGATTTGCTGTCTTTTCAACTGAGTTTGAGGCTCCAAAACCTAGCTGTGGAAGATGAAATGTGTTGAATGCATTGTAATAATCATGAGAAAATGTGGAAAATGTGAAAAAAAAAAACAACAAAGAAAACATGAGTTGATAGCATATGGACTGCAAAAAATACAGAAGAGGGAGGCTGCATCTGGGAATATGTGCTGTGATAGCTGCGCAGGCATGAGGAGTTACTGGTAGCAGTTAAGAGATGGATGTGTGAATGGTGAATGAGAAGGATGGGCGGTGTGCAGGTAGAAATAAAAAATAATTGTGAACACTATATTTACTAATACTGAAGACTTTTTTGGTGTTAACATCAAACTGTTTTATGTCAAAGTTTTTTTTGTCTTTTTTTTTTTTTTTATTTGTCCTTTAAAATAGCTAATCAGTCTGACAGATACCCAGCACTACAGCTATTATCTTCAACAGCTAGTATCCCAGAATACACAGGATGATGATGATGACTATGCTTTACTAATCTCCTTACCAAAAAAATCATCATTTGACCTTGCTTTTTTAAGCTGCACATATATACTGTATTTATGCACTGTAATGCACTCTAATACACGTGCACGTGTTTTTGATGGGATGCATCAGATCAACTGTGGATCAAAACCAGGGGTGGACTGACAACTCATGGGGCCCCCGGGCAATAGGGGATCGTGGGGCCCCTATGTCCTTGCCCACACTCAAAAAAAGTCTATAAAAGGTACCAGGGGCATTTCATGGGGCACCCTACTGACCCCGGGCCCTCGGGCAGTGCCCGAGTGTTCAATGGTCAGTCCGCCCCTGATCAAAACTGTTTTTAGCAAATAGATGGAGCACGACCTAAAAGAAAACTAGATTAGAGTGGATATAGCTTTAAAACATACAACTTGTGATGATAGTGATTCTGATGAATCCCAAACTGTGTGGCAACAATGAGGGAGTTGAACTAACCACAGTGTCACCATCACTTTTTCCAAAAGTCACAAACTGGTAACAAAAAGGGTCAGATTTGAATCTCCTGCTATGCTTAAGCAGACATGCTTAGACCTGCAGTATTACTTCTTTTACAGTATTGAGTTCCCAATGGGAAAGAGAACATATAGTTCCATATGCCCTGTAATGTTAGCCGTAATATTGTAAAGGGCGTTGAGCACAATGCATGACTGCCCAGTATCAACCTACTGATAAACTTTTGTTCAACCGTGCTGTTGGATTTTCCCTGCTTAATCAGTACCAGCGGCTATAGTTAACAGAGCTGATCAGGGTATTCTGACAGCAAGGAAGTTCCCCACTGTCAGAGTACAATAACTCAGCAAGGAGGATTCCCCCATCCACACTGAGTGTGTAGATGGGGAAATCTAGTAATTTTTTTTTTTGTTCAACCCCGTTTGAAATAAAAAAAAACTAAGCTATGGGCTGCCTAACCGCCAAACGTAAGTCCCTTTGAGTTGACAAAGTTTTTATTATATGAATTTGAATAAATTGATTAAATTTATATATCAGGTGACTTTTTTAAGCCCAATATATGGAGTTGGCCTGATGAGCTCTCTCCTTCTCCTGAGTCTCCTCCACAGTTTATTGTGGGTTTGTAAATTGAGCACGTGTCACTTATATATCATTTGTTGGAGTCACTTATGTATGGTATTTCTTATTATCACTGTATAATTATTAATATATTTATA